CATAAACACACAAAGCGTGCACATAAATGCACGCACAAGCATGTATACTTACATGCACATAGACACATGCAGATCCACTAACACACAGGCACACATGTCCACTCATGGACACATGAGCACACACAGACACACACACAGACACACACACGGCTCTCATGGTTGACAAGAAGCCGGGCTCTGTTGTGAGACCTGCTGGAGCTGGAGCCCTGCTCCTGGCTGTGTGCCGGGTGTGGGTTCCCCTTGACTTCACGTGGAGGCCGCCACACCCACCTCGCAGGCTGTGGAGACCACCCAGTGAGGTCAGGCTGTGAGGGTCCCGCCCCGCGCCTGGTGCCCTGGCCTCAGTGACGGCCGGAGCGTGTGGCTGGTGTGGTCAGCCAGGTCAGAGGGCCCCTTTCCTGACTCCCTGACTGTCTGTTCCGGGCGTGGGGCCGTGGTCACTTTCTAACGTCTCATTCACACTGAATCCTGGTTGTTTCAGGGGTTCCACGGGAGGTCTCCCACGATACTGGCAGTGAGTCCTAGAGGACAGGGCCCCCCACAGAAATCCTAGGGGTGGGAACTCTTTTTGGGGGGCCCCCACTGAAACACTTTCCATTTGGTCATCAGGGGGCTGTTCACCCTGGCGTGTCCCTTCCCCCTGCCTCCAAGACTCCAGGAGTAGGCTGGCAGCCAGGCGGGAGCAGTCCTGACATTACATTCCCGGGACAGCCCTTCCCTGGCGGGGTATATGGCCCCGAGGGAGAGAGAAGTTCTCCGCTCAGCGGGAAGATGAGCATCTGGAGAGATGGTAGCCATCACTCCTGCCTGAGAGAGAAGGCTGTCCAGGGAGGAGGTTCAGTAGCAACCAGCAGAGCCCAGGGACACAGGGACTCGGGAGGCTTTGTGAGGGCCCCTAGATCCAGCCACACCGAAGCCGGTCATCCATGGACTCCCCAGTCACACGACACAAGCCACCCCGCTATGTTTAAACCAGTTAGAGTTGGCTTAGTCACGCCCATCGGAAAGAGCCCGCCCAGTTTGCAGGTAGACCAGGAGTTCTTAGTCTCCTGATTTCGGTGCCATGGACCTGTGGTGGTTTGGGAAAGCCTATGAATACATTTATTCCCACTTCTCTGAGACACTTAGTACCTCCATAACAGACTGCAAGTTACCAAATCATGAAACAAAATAGATTGGATTAGAAAGGAAACCAAATGCATATCAATATGTCATAAAATATTAGAAAATAAGTGTGTGCTCTAGTAATACATGTGCTTCTATATTAATGCATTATCTACAAGGTGGGGTCTGTGCAGCCACGTTAAGGATCTCTGCAGTAAATGAACGTTACCTCTTCCTGTGCCGAACACTAATGTGTTTTTGTTGTTGTTGTTAATCCTCATCCGAGGATATTTTCCCATTGATTTTTAGACAGAGTAGAAGGGAGGGGGAGAGACAGAGAGAGAGAGAAACGATGTGAAACAGACACATCAATGGTTGCCTCCCACATCCGCCCCAACCAGGGCCAGGGATTGAGCCTGCAACTGAGGTACACACCCTTGACTGGAATCGAACCTGGGACCCTTCAGCCTGCAGGCCAACACTCTATCCACTGAGCCAAACTGGCTAGGGCAACGCTAATGGGTTTTGATGGTCACTTTCCCCACTGGTCTATTTCCTGCCACTGTGAGCATTTCTCAGGACTCGGGATCATGCACTCTTGTTTTTGTATATTCTGTAATTAAGTCTATTTGTCTCCCCAGCTCAAACTGTGAGTGGGGGTTGGGGGGGGTGTGGTCCTCACTTCAGGGTCTGGGACCTAACAGAATAGTCACTTGATAATTTTGGTTGGAGGTATTGATTTGTCAAACCCCAGGTGGTTGAGTTCTGGGGTCTCCTTTCAAACACTGTCTCCTCTCCCACCTCAGGCTGGGGTGCTCTCCTCCAGAGGACACCCCTGGTCTCGACTCCTGTCTGAGCCTCCATCATCGACCTGGGCCCATCTCCTCCAAGGCCATCAGTGCAGCCCAGCCAATCTCTAGTCTATAAAAGCAGCGCCCTGGGCTGGGGACACAGTGGCCAGCATGCATCTGTATAAACCACCCTGACCTGGGAATAAACCGTGGTTGGCCAGTGGATGAGGTGAGGGACAGCTGAGACCCCATGGTGGGGAGCTTGTGTTAAAGACAGGTGCCTGGCTTCTGGCTGCTGTGAAGCCATGGGCTGACCTGGGCGTTATTATGTTTGACTATGCCATTGCAGGGGGCTCTTGGTCTTCGAGGAGGACAAAATCAGAGGTATCAATCACTTCCCTTTCTCTCCTTCCTTTGATAGGATTTGGATCTGGGAGGCTTGGGTTCCCATTCCTATTCTGACATCTATAGGGGAATTTGGAAGCTTCTGTTTTCGCAGACTACGCATAAAACCACAACAGGAGGTCAAGCATGAGTGCACTCCACAATCACAACATGGATCACCCTAGGGGGCATTTGTGCAGATTAAATGAGACTATGACTGTAAAGCCACTAGCAACCATCACCACCCATCACCACCACCATTCATCCATCCCTCCACCCATCACCCACCCATCACCCATCATCATTCATCCATCCCTCTTTGGAAGCTTCTGTTTTCGCATACTACGCATAAAACCACAACAGGAGGTCAAGCATGAGTGCACTCCACAATCACAACATGGATCACCCTAGGGGGCATTTGTGCAGATTAAATGAGACTATGACTGTAAAGCCGCTAGCAATCACCACCATCCATCACCCACCACCATTCATCCATCCCTCCACCCATCTATTCACCCATCACCCATCCATTCACCCATCACCATTCATCCATCCCTCCACCCATCCATTCACCCACCCATCCATCATTCATTCATCCACGCATCACCCATGTATCCATCCATTTTTCTTTCACTTATCGAATGTTTACTGAGCATCTGCTCTGTACCAGGTGCTAGAGAGATGGATGTGCACAAGCTAAAAGCCCTGCCTCCAGGAAGCTTATACTCCAGAGGGTGGAGACAGACAACAACCAAGTGAAAAACAAATAAATGACATTGGTGACAAATGCAGCTGTAGCTGGGTGGTCAGGAAAGGCATTGAAGAGGTAACATTTGAGCAAAGACCTGAAGGCTGAGAAGGAGCTGGCCCCAGGGTGCTCTGCGCGAAGAGGGTCCCAGGCGGAAGGAACAGCCAGTGCAGGTGGAAGCCACTCAATGCACAGACGGTTTTCTTCCCCGTCCCCTCCCTGCGTTCCTGATCTCTGCCTTCCTTCTTGGGTCTCATTTCCAAGCTCGCCCTGGATGTAGTAGGCACATGCTCTGGCC